CTTGGAGGAGCTGGGCCCCGGCCGAATGCGAAAGCCGGCTTGTCGTTCCGGAGAACGGAGTAACATGAGAATGATCGGGAGGAGACTCTGAGAGTAGAGCTGGAGGGTACAAATACCCGACGAGGTACGAAGAAGAGCGCCATGATGTTTCTTGTTGGAGAATGAAGAAGTGTCAGGCAAGCCGTCAAGAATATGTGAAACTATTGGAAATGCGGAGTGGCGGAGATGGCATCGAGTCATTTCTACTGCGTAAGTTTTGGCCGATAAGCGGCCCGCCCGATATCGCGGCATTTTCCTGGGCCCATCACAGTCACAGTCACAGTCGCTCAACTTTATGACTCTTGACTCTCCTTTTCTGAGTCCTATTTATTCAGTCCTTTCCCGAGTCAATTGCTTCAGCCATCTTTCATTCTCAGCCTTCTAGTGTCACTGCTGCCGCAATGACTTTCATGCGTGTGGCTTCGCGGCGGCTGCCGCTCACAAAGCGCCTGGTTCCTGGATTCCAGTCACCGGTCCAACAACGATTTGCTTCTGCAGCGGCAGGGACACAAACATCCAATGCTCCTCTGGATGTGAAGGCCCAGGTGACTGTAGGTCATATGAAATTAAAATTATTGTCAGTTCTAATAATGGCGATCTTTATAGAAAGAGGCAGTTTTGCCTAACCCAGACCCTGCGGCGGATTCTGCGACAGCAGCTTTCATAAGGGGGCGCACCCCGTACATGGTGCCTACATACGTGCGACCAGCTCCCGTAATGATTAAGGGACAGGGGTGTTATGTTTGGGATATGGAGAACAGGCGGTATCTCGATCTCACCGCTGGTATTGCCGTCAACTCTCTCGGCCATTGTGACCCGGAAATCGCAAAGATTATCGCAGAACAGGTGTGTATACTCAGGTTGTTTGACCGCTAGGGGTTTGTAGTTGACGTATGTCGTGCTCTGTAGGCCGAGACACTTATCCACGCCTCAAACCTCTACCATAATGCCTGGACTGGTGCCCTTAGCAAACTGTTGATTGCATTGACACACGAATCCGGCGCAATGCGCGACGCTTCCCAAGTCTTCATCTCTAACTCCGGAACTGAGGCGAACGAGGCTGCCATAAAGTTTGCTCGTAAGGTTGGTCGGTCTCTTGATCCCTCCGGAGCTAAACACGAATTCGTCTCCTTCCACAACTCTTTCCACGGCCGCACGATGGGAGCCCTCTCCGCAACACCCAACCCCAAGTATCAGACTCCTTTCTCACCTATGGTGCCCGGCTTCAAGTACGGCACCTACAATGACATTGGACAACTTCAGGAGCTCATCACGGACAAGACTTGTGGTGTGATCGTGGAGCCTATCCAAGGAGAGGGCGGTGTTAATACCGCGACTCCTGAGTTCCTGGCGGCTCTTCGCAAGCGGTGTGATGAGGTTGGAGCTGTGCTCATCTTTGATGAAATTCAATGCGGTCTATCTCGAACTGGCTCATTCTGGGCTCATGCTCACCCCTCACTGAAGCCTGCATCGGGCGAAGCCGCCCACCCTGATATCCTCACCACGGCCAAAGCTCTCGGTAACGGTATCCCCATTGGCGCTACCATAGTATCTGGCAAGACTGTTGCGGAGCACATTAAGACAGGTGATCATGGCACTACTTTCGGAGGTAACCCGCTCGCGTGCCGAGTCGCTCATCACATCGTCGAGCGCCTCGCCTCGCCGGAGTTACAAAAGTCTGTGGAAGCCAAGTCCTCTTTGTTTGTGTCTGGATTCCACAGCCTTCAGAAGAAGTATCCCGATGTTATCACTGAGATTCGCGGCCGTGGTTTGATCCTGGGCGTTCAGCTGTCCAAGGTGCACGCGGCCAAAGCGTCGGACCTGATCACCGCAGCTCGTGAGCGAGGACTGCTGATCATTACTGCTGGTGAAGGGTGTCTTCGCTTCGTTCCTCCTTTGACTATTACCGAGGAGCAGATTAAGACATCTCTAAAGATCTTGGAGCAGACATTCGATGCTGTTTTCACACATGCATAGGTGATTGCTGAGCAGTTGAGAATGATTTACTTTCGATATACCACTATTCTGCTCGTAGACTGACTCCTTTTGCGTTTCATTGCAGCCAAGCATAATAGTCTTATTTATTTATTTTCTCAGATATGTAGACAAAAGCAAGCATATTTTCGTGAACATCTGCCAAAGCACTCTCCTCAACTTTGAAGAGTATTATGTCGTTGATGACTATGGCTACTCTAGTGATGCCTGGCGCTTTCTCAGGCAGTAAGGCACCAGTGGTCACGAGACCAGTTGCCATTCTTATCATGACCGCATCGACTTACGCCCTTTCACCAGTTGTCGAAGACAGGCGATTGCAATGATTTCCTGATTGATGCGATCAGAAAATTGAGCCGCCTTGCTTTTGTGTACATTCAGAGTGATGGATGCATACGGTGTCTCATAGAATTATCTATCGACTCGTAACATACTAACCTACCTCCCTCGTTTTACTTGGTTATGCCTGCTGCTGCCGATACGGAGGAACAACCTATGCTGCCTCTTCCTGGTGCTCCATCCTCGTCATGGGCTCAGTTCTGCCACCGATTCCGTGCCTTGTTCAGCGGCGCGGATCCTCGCGTCTGCGTCGCCTTTTGGCTGTTTGGTGAGTCAATACAAACCGAGACTGTCCCATAAGTTGAAATATTCCTTAACGCTAACAATTGTGCGCTTTACCTGATCACCATAGGCCTAATCAATAATGTCTTGTATGTTGTTATCCTGTCTGCTGCCCTCGATCTGGTCGGGCCCAGTGTCCCCAAGGGAGTCGTCCTTCTAGCGGACGTGATACCCTCGTTCGCAACGAAACTCATCGCCCCGTACTTCATCCATATGGTGCCATACCCCGTGCGAATCATCATATTCGTCTTCCTTTCTGCCATTGGCATGCTCCTAGTTGCGCTGAGCCCTCCATATACCGATGGTGGGACGATAGCTACTAAACTTGCTGGTATTGTACTGGCTAGCTTATCCAGCGGAGGTGGGGAGCTGAGCTTCGTTGGATTGACACATTTCTATGGGCCTTTCAGTCTGGCTGCGTGGGGAAGTGGAACAGGAGCGGCTGGTCTGGTTGGAGCTGGTGCATACGCCCTGGCCACTACCTCGTTGGGTCTCAGTGTGAAGGCGACTCTGTTGGCATCTTCATGTCTGCCAGCGGTCATGGTAGTCAGCTTTTTCATGGTACTGCCCAGATCTCCTCTGCAGCCTCTTTCGGCCGCATACGCCGGGTACAGTGCCGTTGAAGAAAGAGAAGAGCTCGCGGAGGAACGCGCATTCATGGAGGGCGACCGTGACGTGATTTTCGACGAAGGGGAACGACTTCTGGGAGCTGCCAATCTTTCCACTCAGGGCGAGAAAACGGGTTGGCAGCGTTTCAAGGCGGACTTGAAACGTGTCCGGGGTCTTTTCTTCCCATTGTAAGTAGAAGAGTTGAATGGCGACGATTGGTCCCACGCTGACATCCAAACGGTAGTATGCTTCCATTACTTCTGGTCTACGTCGCGGAGTATACAATAAATCAAGGAGTGTCTCCGACACTGCTCTTTCCGCTTGACGAATCGCCTTTTGCGCATTTCCGTGCCTTCTATCCAGCCTACAACGCGATCTACCAGGTCGGGGTCTTTATTTCTCGATCCTCGACGCCCTTCTTCCGTATCCATGACCTGTACCTCCCGTCTTTCCTGCAGATTCTGAACTTGGTACTATTGACTCTTCACGCCGTTTTCAACTTCATCCCCAGTGTGTATATCATTTTTGTAGTCATCTTCTGGGAGGGTTTATTGGGCGGTTTGGTCTATGTCAACACATTCGCCGAAATCGGAGATCGTGTGCCAAAGGAAGAGCGCGAATTCTCCCTAGGAGCGACCACAGTCAGCGATGCAGCCGGTATCTGCATAGCTGGCTTCGTCAGTATGGTCTTCGAAGTCTGGCTTTGTGACTGGCAAGTCACACATGGGCGGGACTACTGCCGGAGAATATAGATGCATGCATAAATGATGACGGATGGCTCGGAATATAATAGACGCGATGTTCTCTTGACATATTATTTGCCCAGGATGCCTTGCCAATGTGCCTATCTGACTTAAGACTGCATCAACCGATAGCGTCACGGGTTGTGGAGGCTTTGACATGTGATGGCCATCCACAACCCACAACCAAGTCTTCGACAACCATGGGTTCTCTCTGATCAACCACATCGGAATGACCTTGACCCATTGACCCATTTACGGGCACCTAACAACCTCCCTATGATTTTAGTAGTCCCTCTTATTCCAGTATCCTGATAATCCTAGTGGAGACTTTTCACATGCTCCGCCCCAGTCACGGCCTCGTCCACCATTCATCATCACCCTAAACAGCCTGCCTACTGACCATTATTGCGCCAACCCATCCACTATCCTCCAAATGGATTCTCAGGGACAAACATCGTCAGCGCCAGACTGCTGGATGCCGCAGATTCTTTCAATTCCTGCTGTTTGAAATAATTGTTTGTCGCGTCACTGCCCCACTCTCATGTGGCATTTGGAGATACTAGTCTCTGCAATACCCCGTTTATCGACATGATCCTGGGGTCTCCACACTTCTTTGAATACCTAATTCTGTAGGATGGCAGGACAAGAGAGGCGCTTTGTTTCTTTATTTATCTTATAGGACGATCAGGAAGCTGTACTTCGCTTTCGTCGCCCTTCTGCCTCTGCCTTCTTTTTTCCCTTGCAAATTGACTCTATGAACCTGAAGTGTGATATTGGTTCTTGCATCTGCGATAACATCGATCCGAGTCAGGAGAATAATCGAGCCGTGGCTTGTCAAGAAGCCTAATAGAGATGATAGGTATGAACCCTCCTTGAGCTCTGTCAAAGCGGACAACTGATAGGGGATAGACCACGTTCTAGGGAGACCCTCAACCAAATTCCGAAAGATCCAGGTTTTTGGGGTAGTCCTATTCTGGTCTGCCTATCTGTTCAAGTATGTCGTATGCTGTTGGAACGGAAAGAAGGAAAGACTGCTAAGCATACCACGTAGGGGAAGCAAGCATGGCCCTCCGATCGCCCGCAATATCTCGTCCCGCCTGTCGGGGAAACTGACCGTCTGGCAAACCACCGTAGCTGTGTTTCTATGGCTCTATATCTGCCGCAATTTCGCCAAGATTGTTGGTCTCGAAAGCCCCGAACCCCTGGCGAATCTCTACTCTCGGTCTTTTTTTCGAGCAACATGGGTCACCACGGCACTCGACGCTGGCTTTTGGACTGCAATGAGGATCAAACCCAAGTGGTTACGGGATATCTCATCGCTGGTATTCACCGTCTACTATCTCTTCGCGGCAGAGCAAGCAGATGATATGGTACGCCGTGTCCGCGCAACCCTGACCGTGGAACACCTGCGAGTGTCGTGGAACAAGGGAACCACTCCATATCTTTGGGCCCTTCAGAAGTTGGTCCGACCCCGTTTGACAAATTATGGCCCTCGAGCCATCCGCATCCCCCGCCCTAAACAATCTATTTACACCGAGCCAACGAAAGCATGGCTATATTTTGACGGTCCGCTCAGTGCGCTGAAAGATCAGACATGTGTGATTCTGGATATTCCGGGGGGTGGGTATGTTGCCATGAACCCGCGCAGCTCGGAAGACAAACTGCTCGCCTGGGCGGGGAAGACCAAGATGCCGATATTGAGTCTAGACTACAAGAAGGCACCCGAGTATCCGTACCCGTATGCTTTGAACGAATGCTATGATGTCTACCACACGATCATCACCACACGAGGCCGTTGCCTGGGACTGAGTGGACACACGCGGCCACGTATTGTGGTTACTGGGGATAGTGCTGGTGGAAACCTCGCTGTCGGGACGGTCCTGATGATTCTGCAGTCAGGGGCTGAGAATGTGATCCCACGCCCGGATGGTCTGGTACTGGCGTATCCCTCCCTAAACATGCGAGTTGAGAGCTGGATGACGGAGGAGCAGATGTCATTGATCCAGGATAAGAGCGTTCGCCGAACGAATAAGAACGTTTTGCAGAGAAAGAATATGGACTATCAGAGGCTGACGCCATTTGCATCGCCTGGACCATCTACGGAAGAACTGAAACAGGAGGTCTTGTCTGATGCGGACTTGGAGGCGGATGACCTCGGAGAGAAGGCTTCGAAGAGAATTGCCGAGAAATTGAACCAAGATAATCTGGCAGCTCAGACAGCTGCACTTGTTGAGCATCAGCCAAAGCAGATCCGGACTCGTTTGGCCGTGTCCTCCATGATCTCGTACGTTCATGATCGCATATTGACCCCAGAAATGATGCGAGCCATGATTATCCTCTACATTGGACCTCATAACCGGCCCGACTTTAGCACGGACTTCCTCTTATCGCCTGTCTTAGCTCCCGAGAGCCTCCTCACCAGGTTTCCCAAAACCTACTTCATTACAGGGGAACGAGATCCATTGGTCGACGACACGGTCATCTTCGCCGGCCGGCTACGCCAGGCCAAATTGCACCAATTTCGGGAAAGACAGGAGCTCGGGCTTGAAAAGTCTCATCAGGAATTCAATGAAAAGGACCACGTGGAAGTCTCCTTACTACCAGGAGTGTCACATGGATTCCTTCAGATGGCCGGGTTTTTCCCTGACAGCTGGAAACACTTCAACCGATGCGCTACGTGGATCCAGAACTTGTTTGACACGGCTGAGGTCAAGAAATCGTCTTCTAGCCTTTTACAGTCGCTCTACGATAATCCTGTTATTGATAAGGACCTAGCCATAGAAACAAACGGACAAGCGGCTCCCCGGAATCACAAGCGAAGCTTGACAGGCGAATCCTCCGCAGATGAAGACAGGCCTTTGGAAATGAGCATCGGCAGAATGACCCCTTTGACACCTGCTCACGGGAATCTCGATTCCGGTGACACTCAGCAATCCAAGGAGGACACGCCATCCCAGAAGCCCTATCGTTCCCGTCGGGAGGCTACCGGCACCCCTGATCGCAAATCTGACACGAAGCATGGAATCCGAAAAAGGAGTTCATCTAGGGGCCGAAAAGACTCATCTAGTGGGCTTGGTAGAAGACGGCGCCTCGCCCCGACGAAGCTCACTCTGCCTGTTTCTGACGAGACCATGTCCGATAACCTGGGAAGCCCGGTACATCTTCGCAAACGAGAAAGAAGTCTCCACAGCCTTCCCAGTCACGAGGATCTTTTGGATCGCAGAATGAACGGCTTAGCGGGCGGGCTGATGGGAATAGGGGAGGGAGCGCAGACCCCTTGAGTTGACGAGAACGATATCATTGGCGACACGAACACGATACATATTATGCCTTATGTATAGAGCGAGATGAATTTTTCTGTAATTGAGTAAATACCCTGACCTGGAACAGAAATAGAAAGAACTTCGATTTCGTGAAGCATGTGAAGCTGAAGATCTGATATGACATGTGATTGTGGCGAGTTCTTCATGTGAATGTGGATCTGATTTCAGCCTAATTGTACAATAGTATCAACCTACAATAATAGTAGCAACAATACCCGATATCATACAGCCAAGCATTCATCCACCGGAATCATCTGACGCTCAGCGAAGATTGCTACTGCATTTAGCTGGCTCTTATGCAAGCTGTCCATACATCCGTCAGCCCGTCAGACCATTTGCCGGTCCAATCGGGCCGACCGTTAGACGCACATTGGAGCGCCCATCAGCTTACTCTCTAGTCTCTGCGTCTCTGCAAAGTTCTAGCCTTCTCAGCCTCTGTGGTGACTACCCACTCTGTACTGCGTGGTAGGGCTGACACGATCATGAATCCATCTCAAGCAATCCGCAATCCCATCGAAGCAGAAACAAGCCTGAACCCTTCATGTGGTCGGACAACATGCTAGAATATTCCTGGCTTCTGCTGTAGCAGGCCGTATCCGCTGCTATGTTCTTGACTGGCTACATTAGCAATGACAAACAAACATGAAGGACTGAATCGCAAAGGTTAGCGCCAGCCCTAACGACTGACTCGAATGCGACAAGTGTTTAACCAAACCCTGCCACGTCGCCGGTCTCTTCCGCAATTTGCTCATTTACATTATCTTTAATATGATTAATAAACTGGGATGGGGAATCCTTTGATGATATGTAGATAGATGTGGATGTGTGCCTTCTCCGTCGGATCAGTTGACCTAATCGCCCCGAATATGCCTCGGCAAACCGAGCGGACGGAATCACTACACCGTCCCTTCTGGTAGTGATGAGTAAAAAATGAAAAACCAACAAGCCAGAATCGATGAAAAACCGTTTGAAATGACGAAATAGGCCACAGAATATCCAGTCATCCACTCGGGACATGTAGACGCCCGATGGGCCCTTCTTATGCCGGGTGGAGATTTTCGCTGTGCAGGTCTTGGCAGGATGGTGTCATGCTATATTGGTTTTTGTGCCGGGTCTTTATGAAGAATAGGGCTGGATATGGCATGCTAGAGGATTCTGTGATGAGTGGGTAGGGAGGTTTAAGAAGCTGGCTATGGCGCTGAGCTGCTTGTTTGTGTCCTGTGTTCTCGCTTCTACAGTTTGGCATCGAAATATATCATACCTAGTGTTGACGTCGGTTAAACCCTGATAATCAGTGTTCCAGAGACATTGTCGATCACCTGCAAACGAGATGTCAGTCGAAAAGTATGTCGACTTTGACGGCCCGGATGATCCTCTTAACCCCCTCAAATGGCCCATGAGGAAAAGGTATGTCGAGTCCGTCTTCTGGTTCTCTGGACATTGGATGACTGACACTTGAATGGGATGTCAGGGTCTATATCTCGGCCATACTCGGTCTTAGCACAATGGTTGTTGCTTTTGCAAGTAGTATCTTCTCCGCCGCGATGCCCTCGGTGATGCACCTATATGGTATCAACCGGGAGGTATGCACCCTCGGTATATCCCTCTACGTCTTCGGATTCGCATTCGGTCCGTTGTTCTTCGGTCCCTTCTCGGAGGTCAAGGGCAGATACATGCCTCTTGTAATCTCAATGTTCGGCTTCACGATATTCTCGTTCGCAACCGCCGTCTCCAAAGACCTCGCTTCCCTGTTCATCCTTCGATACTTCACTGGATTCTTTGGCTCCGGTCCACTCACACTCGCGGGAGCATCATTTGCGGATATGTTCTCGCCGGAGCAGCGGGGGATTGCCATCGTCATGTTCTGCCTGATGGTGTTCATTGGTCCTCTAGTTGCCCCATTTGTGGGAGGCTTCACGGTAATGAACTCATCACTGGGCTGGCGTTGGACGGCCTATATTCCAGGTATACTAGGAGGCGCTGTGCTCCTCCTTCTGGTCGTCTTCCTGGAGGAGACCTACCAGCCCGTCATCCTGGCTCGAAAAGCCGATCGCTTGCGCCGCGAAACTGGCAATTGGTCAATTCACGCCAAACACGAGGAGCTGCGTCTTGATGCTAGATCCATACTGGCCGATTACCTCGCCCTGCCACTGAAGATGCTCGTTCTCGACCCGATCGTCACGTGCATGTGCGTCTTCGCATCTTTCGTGTACGGGCTGCTCTATCTCTTCCTGACCGCATACCCGATCATCTTTCAGAAGATTCATGGTATGAACCCAGGTGTGGGTGGGCTGCCCTATCTGGGGGTTATTGTAGGGCAGCTCCTAGGTGCCGTTGGCATCGCAGCGACCCAGCCCTGGATTCTGCGCAAGTTGGAGCAAACCGGTGGCGTGATGATGCCAGAGTGGCGTCTTCCTGTGGCTATTCCAGGTGCAGTCGCATTCTCTGCGGGGCTCTTCTGGCTGGGGTGGTCCGGATACAAGCAGAGCATCCACTGGATTGTGCCGACTCTGTCGGGGCTGCTGACAGGATTTGGATTGTTGACCATGTTCCTTCCCTCGCTGGCTTATCTGGTCGAGGCTCGTCCTCAGAAGTGAGTACCCCCAATATTGTCAGATATGACGACGCATGGACTGACTGAGTATCATCAGGGCGGCATCTGCTGTTGCTGCACACACGTTCCTGCGGTCGGTCGCGGGAGGTGTCTTCCCACTATTTGCTACATATATGGTCAGTCACCGAACCTCGAACTTTCTGATCGTGAAACTGAACTGAATTTGATACAGTTTGATGGATTAGGTGTGGAATGGGCTTGCACACTGCTTGGATGTGTGGGAGCATTGATGATTCCTATCCCGTTGCTGCTGTATATTTACGGAGCACGAATTCGCGGCAAGAGCAGAATGGCTGCTTGATCTGACGGACCTGGCGAAGATTCCACTAATAGAATAATTGTAATGATAATAAGTTTATATTCATGACCCATACTCACATAGATAGAATGCTAATGTTATGACCTCACTGCTCAATTGACTTTGTTGACTGGAATCCTTTTATGACCTTGGGTTAGTTCATCCACTGACTGGACTTCCGCAACGAATCTATATGTTGCGGAGCTGTGTATGTGTGTAGTGTGTGGACTCGATGGCATGGACGAATCTGCGAAACTGCTGTTGTAACACAGTAAATGCAACTGTCTACAGCCACTCCCCCTGGCGCTAAATAACTGATCGTCCCTGAAGCTCTGATTGCGGAAAAGTGCCCAGACTATCCACAGTACAATAGCAGCGGGTCAGGCACAGCGCAGCAACTGTTTTAGCCCTCGTCCTAGCAGTGCGCAAGCATATCTGGATTTCTGTTTAATCCAGCGGTCAATCGATAACAATGCGGGTCATCTGCTATCTCGTCATCGGATCAACAATCTAACGTCGACACCAATTGAACCTGGCCGTCCTTTTAGACCGTGAGCCATCCAGACCAGCAATTGCGTGCTCTCTGAAGTCCACATCCTCATATTTAGTCCAACATACGCCATGGTCGCACAAGACCTTGGATCGCTTTTCAATGTCTGTGTTACGTCTGACTCTCGAGGGCGATTTGGCTGTCTTTCTGCCATCTAATATCGATATATTTCCCTCACCGCTACATTCTCTTCAACGAGCGTGACGTCGATCATCGCAGACAGTCGCGCGGTCAATGCATCACCGCTGATCGAGATTAAAGAGACGGTAAATGGCACCTTCAGTTACCGACCATGTGCCCTATGGCCTAGAATTTCCAGAAGAGACTGTTGTGGACATTTCATACGATGACTGGTATTCGTGGACGCTATTAGAAGACCACCCACTTCGTGCCCCTCCAACTTATTGTTGCCCGGGATTGTTCAAATTTATACACGGCTGCTACGTGACGGCGAGGAAGAATTTGGGAGAGCGCTTGTTTAGAGGGGTGTGTTTGTTGTTGATAATCACGTTCGTTTCCCCAAGACTATTGTCATAAGCTTGGATGAAACTTGGGCTGACCACGTTGTTGGAAACAGGTTTGTGATACAATTGTCTATACTGCCTCTTGGGCTCATACATTTGTTGCCTCATGCGCAGGTCAGAGAACACGGACAGGTCTTTGCATTTAGCCACAGCCATGCAGAATGCGCTGCATATCATTTGCAAGCCGTCCGAGATGCGAGTGGAGACTCTTCTGCGGTCAGATGCATTGGAGTTAAGGTGGACATTTGGATGCAGAATGGTAGTCTTTGGGCGAATGACTCAAAGACATCAGTCAGCGCTTCGGAAGTGCTAAGCAACGCATACTTTAAATCAATGCTAGAGAAGCTGGACACCATGAATTCTCCGTGGAATACCCCCGTTCGCTCTGCTGAAGCGAGCCCATTGGGGTTACTCGAGGAGGGAGCTGTGCGCTCTTCGGTCCTTCTCCTGGAGTTGCAATCTCCTGTTGAAGCAGCGTGGCCGGATTTAATGTCACGGTTGGAGAAGTTGAGGACAGGAAGGTACCTATCATACAAGAACGGGACGCGACTAGTTTTGAGACCTATCACCGTCGTGATTTCAAGCAAAAATCTATCTTATCTGGATCGAACCAACGTTGGAGAATCAGAAGTTATCTTCTTTGACACCTCACTGAAATCGTTGACTCGAACGCATCACACAGAAGATGGTGAAGGAACCGATGGCGACGACGAAGCCGCAAACCATGCTACCAAAGCCTTTCTGGCAGGGAACTCGACAACAAGGAGTGTCATGGCAACTGCCGATTTCCAAGCATCTGTCGGCCTCCCCCGTCGGGGCCGATTCTCCAAAGAGCAGATTGAGATGATTCGGGCGCAAGTGCGTGCTGCTCACCAGCATGGACTGCTGGCACGGTATACCGGCATCCAGTGCCGTCCGCGACGATTACGCAGGTTGATCTTGCGACTGTTAGCTCAGGAAGGGGTTGATTTAATTGAGAATGACCAGAACGATTGCGAGCGACCGTGGTGGAACTCGTCCTGGAGGATGGTGAAGTTAGCAGGAGAGTACCTGAATTTCTAGATTAAAGTCTCCATGTAGGAATGAATTACTACACAGTTCAAAGCATATCATCATGCAGAAACTCAATCAAACGCCCACAGTGACGAATGGCACCTTAAGAACCTGAGACAGACGACGGTATAACTCCTTGCTTCTGCGAGTGTATAACGCGAAAAGGGTCAGTGTAACACCAACCTCTTGCAAGGAAATGTGTGCAGGCTTCTCTTCCAAGTTAATTAGTAGCTATATATTTCCCCTTTTTGACAATCATGCAAGGGCTTCTGATCGGAATTTACAGTTCTGTCTACAAAACCATATCAGACAGCGCAGGATCTTCTACTGGATGCTGAAGCAAGCAAACTCCATACCGAGAGTTCAGAACTAGGATACAAGAACCTTACTTGGTAACTCGACGTATTGCCTGGAGGAAGATGTCGATAAGTGGGCATGCATGCATGTGCGGTGTGTATGTACAGCATCCTTGGCGCAGACGATGATCCTAGGTACAGTACAGTATTGTATCTCTTTGACCCAGAGCAAAGGGATAGAGCTTTTAGAGGTCTGCAGGGCTCGAGTAGATGTGATTTTCTATCTTTTCTTTCTCCAATGACTCAGACTGCATCAGTAGATCACGGCAGCACAAGTGATTGCTGCTGGATACTGGGTCTTCTCGTAAAACTGAGCAAGGTAGGTATGTGGCGTATACAAACTGTCAACATGACACGTCGATGGGCTGCTGCTGCATGCCATGCCAAGTATGTTGGAGTCTGCGCCCAACGAGGAAAACATTGTGCAGTGTTCAACTGTACCTATCTTGATGAGGCGAAAACTTATGCCAGTGGGGCCATAGGAATGGCATATCGGGACTTTGAAGTGCAGAAGGTTGATCTGGTTCATCACCAGCGTAGTGTTGTCACCACTCGATACAACAGAATGTCTACCTCTATATGTTATTATGGGATATCTAAGGTAGAAGACATTCATCTTCATTGACTTTGTAAGTACGGAGTAGTACTCCACTTTTCCCCGCTGCCATGCCGGCCCCATTTTATTGATTTAGATTTGTCCGCTTTTTTAGTAGTCTTTTACATTTTAGTATTTATTATGCAGATTCAATAGTGCATTATCCAGACTAGCAGTTCCACATCCCCTGTGATTGGCTCTCCCTCCCTGTCTCTGACTCCATCTTCCCTGTAATCCTTGGGTCCTGTCGCATGCCCGTTGTTTTTCTTTTCCCTTCCTCTGGTTTATCGCTCACCGTTTTCTGGGCTTTTTCTTCTTCCACCACCACCACCATAACCAACATCAATATCAGCAGTCAATCTGCCTGCACAGCTGCCTCTTGTTACATTCTTATGGGCCGTGCTCTTTTGATATCTTGAAAATCACAACAGCATATCCCCCCTTAGGACACACCTCTATTAAGTTCCTATCAAACTCTGAGGAGACAGCAACGACTATCTGGCTTGCATCGGCTTCCACCGCCATTTCTCAATTTTCACCATCAACTACCTAGGGAATTCGTCTACACGCGACCTAGTTTTGAATGCACCAAGTCCTCATCCTACCGTTTCTCAGATACAGTTGACCTGAGATCATCATTGCTCGCCCATGATGATGGATCTTCAGAAGCGCCCTCCTCAATATCCGTCGCTCTTTGGCGCCTCACACGACCCTCGTGCCGCTCCGCAGCCGCCTCCAACCTACAGCGTCCCTCCCCCTCAACAGGTCTACTACGATTCGCTGAAGCAGCACGGAGTACCATCAAGTCAACCTGCGAACACAATGGCCTACCCCTACTCCACACCCACGTCTTCTGCTCCGCCGACTCCTGTCTCATCAACACCACATAACATGCCGGCGCCTCTACGGGTAGACAACCACAGCTATCAAGTGCCGCAGATGAACTATGAATTGTCCCAAAAACATGAACCTGGGCAGAAGGATCACAATAAGCGTCACCGTCGAAGCCACAGTCACAACAATAGCCATGATCAGCTGATATATCGCGAAGGTAGGCAATACTGTTTCCTTTGATTCTGGATCTGCTATTACTTCGTTTTTCCTTCTTCCTCTTTTTCCTTTGCTCCTCATGGTTTCATGATTTTCCCCAGTTTATCCCCAAGTCGTTCTGCATTGGGGCGCTGGACGCCATGCGCAGGCCTTTCAAGGCGTGAACGTCGCGTCGCGTAAAATGTCAAGGTTGAATCTGAGACATAATGGCCTCTAGCCAGCGTTGAACAACTGGCGATTGTACTCGCTCCTGACGTCGTGGACAACGATCGTACCGGACTACCTACTGGTATGGTGCGACCTTGTACCTGCCAGGCAGTACTACACCGCCAGCCAATCATAAGTCCTGAATCCGTCGCGTCTGTGGCGCGGCTGGCGCCTGATCGACTACAGCTAGGCACGGGAGCGCTAGTCCTGGTCTGGAATAGCCTCCTTGTTCAGGATCCCCTTGCCTGACCTGGATTAGCGCTAGTCGAGCTACGTCGTCCAGGCCCAGAGTCACGGGTTCATCCGCCCCAGTGCCTTTTTGTGATTACCTTATGGTACTTCCATCATTGTCCCATCGGCTATCCCATCCCCAGTCCCCAATTCTCCCTTTCCTCTTACCCCCTAGATTGCGCGTCATCATATTTTCCGATTTTATTACATTTCCTATTCATTACGTGCAACTCATTTTAATTCCGTTGTCTACCTTTTCCTCTACGTGCGACATGAATCCTCCCCGGTCGCACGATCAGGGTCGTCGGAGGTCTTTGGGCAGCAGCAGCAGTCCCGTGTTTTCTGGTGCGTTCGCCGTTGAGGCTCTCGTGCAAGACAGCCTGCGATGGATCAACTCTCATCACTGCTTTTGATCATTTTTACACCCATATATTTTCAGTCTTCCCCCCATCACATGTGTTTATCCCCTACGATTTTACGCGCTTTGCTGACCCAGACTGATCGCGCCTGAACAGGTCCGCAAGACCAGTCGTCCGCGTCTAGTGCCTTAGGAACCCGTCGAATGCCGCCCCCTTCTCCACCACAACACTATGCATCTCGGGGCCAGTCGGGAAATTCATCGCTGCCTGCTCCTTTCATGTCTCGTGAGCCTCCCAACAACATGGCTCATCATCGTCCTGGGAGCAGCATGTCGATATCTTCCATGCTAGGCTCGGACGCTGACCGACCAGCCCGGGATGTAGGCTCGGCTTCAATCTACTCTCGTGCTCCTGTATCCTCCGGCCCATATGGTAGCGCACCTCCACCGTCCGCCCCAAGCGCAATGTCACCACCTACTGCTCCCGCCAGGCCCTCGACGCTCGATTACCCAATGTTCCGTCGGTCAAAGACCCCCGAAAAATCCTTCAAGAACCAGCCCGGCCGCCCTTACAGAGCAGGCGCTGGCAGTGTATCGCAAGGTCCACCAGGCCCCGAACAAGCCAGATTTACAGGCCTATCGCGCGGCCAACCTCAGACACAGTTTCCAGATAAGCCTAGCTCTTCCCACGCGTCGCCCCAATTGCAGTCTGCATCCACGGAGCCGTCCTACCATGAATCGCGCCGCTTGAGCTTCAACGGACCCGTCCCTCGTCCCAACAGCCAGCCGCAACATCTGGAGCGCTCGACGCGATCGGCGGGTTATAGTCCACTGGCGCGACCAGCGCCCGCGCCGGGAGCTGGAGACCATTCGCTAGGGTCTGGACATCAGCGCGCAGCTTCTTACGTGGGTCCCGAATCGCAGCACAGCCGGTTTGGGAACTTGTATGGTGATCGGCTCGCAGAGGAGCAAGCGCATCGCGACAGGGAGCGGGCGGCGGCTCATGAAGTCGAATCGAAAGCCGCTCATCCTCAGTCTCGATATGCTCCTCATTATGGCGATCGCGACGCCGCTGGAAATCGTCATTCTGGTGCATCTGCGTGGGATCTCAGTCGCTCCCAACCCCCCTCGCCGGAAACCAAGCGCTTCCCGGCTCCAGAGCAAGGCTCCGCATTCGGGTTTGGCGCCATTCAGAGCTATACCAAGTCTCTGGGTTTACAGCCAGGGGGATCGCGGCAGCCATCTTTGTCCATGCAGCCCCGCCAGAACCAGCCGACCCCATCGAATGAACAGCAATCCTACCTGAACAAGCTTCAGACGGAACCCCGGCTGTTCGGCTCGGCACCCTCAGGAGGACCGTCGTCTCTAGTCCACTCTGCCTCATCCGACGATCAGCGCCGAAAGGGGAGTGATGAGCTGCTACATCATCGAAATCTACTCGGCGTCGGCCTTGACGCCAAACGCGGAGGACGTGCGTCGCCTTTACCTCAAGCCGTCCAAGGAGCCCAGGCTCAGATCCTTGGCCCGGCCGGCGAAGCTGGCATCAAGAGTGAATTGGGCCGCGTTTTCTCTGGTATTGGAAGTGGTGTGGGTGGTGTTACAGCCGCTACTGCAGGCAGTGGGCCCTCCACACCGATGACCGTCAGTCCCTTCAAGCGCGATAGCGTTGCCGGTCGCTCAACCAACAGCGAGGCGACACTGGATGATTCTAAAACCAATCGGCCTGCGTCCACTACGGGCAAGCGTTCTCGAAAATCACGCGATGAAGACAGCAAGGCGGATAGTGAGCCTGGTACAGATCGACCTGGTGCGTCTGCAATTAACAGGCGAGGTCGTCATGTTCATCACCACCATCATCAGTAAGTGATAATACCTTCTAGTTTCATGGTTATTTATCTACTTGTTCATCTGATCTAACGTGCCCAAGCCATCATCACCACCGCCTCAAGCCTGAAGAAGATAATGCTGCCGCTTCGATTGCGCCCCATCGACCTGTTTCCTCGATGAATTTCTTCCACCGCACATCGACGCCAGCGGAAGCTACAGCGTCCGGAATGTCGCTTGGGCATCATCATCACCACCACCATCACCATCACCACCATACCTCGCGTCCGACAGCCTCCACGGCGAACCCCGCAGCTATGTCGCCGATGCGTGAACCTCGCACTGTGGTTACGGTTGAACCAGTGGTCTCGAGTGTAGCCCATCTTCC